TTGACTCAATGTTTGAAGATCAGGTAAATTGAACATTAATTTTTTTACCTCATATTGTAATCTATAAAGAAATTGGCTAACAAGTGTAGCATCATCCTACTTGATATCAATTATAAGTTGTCTAAATTTTGAAGCATACAACATTACTGATCAATTGCTTTGTCGCAAAATATTGATCTTATTGGTTGCAACACAAATTGCATCATGTTCTCCATACATGGATCAAAACTCTGCTAAAAAAGCCTCTAGATTATCCAATATTGGATCTCGTCATTCAAGAAAAGATGAAAACCATGATAATGTTGAACCTGAAAGAAGCGTACTAATCAATCTAACTTGCAATCCTAGAGTTAGATAGCTTTGGAGTTGAAGTTCAATCACAAGTTATACTTGATTGATAAATCCTCTAAACTTTGATCTGATGCCATCAAACTTCTCGGGTAGGGTAATTCTTGGTTCTCTAACATTGGAAGGGCGTTCCACTATAGGAGAAGGGACATTATTTGGTACAGATATTGAAGCAGCTTCAATCATTTCTATATCTTCACTTCCTGCCTATCTTGTTATTCCTAGTGGTGGTAAATTGAGTTGATGCATCACAAGCATTAACTCCCTCAATTGCTCTTACATTTGTGCCATTGTATTTTTTATTTCAACAAGTTTTGTTTTGATAATACTTAGAAAAGAGAAGATGTCTAATATTGCTCAAGACCAATAGAAGAAAGGACTTGAGAACAAAGAAAATACTAAGGATAATATTAATTTAGAAGAGGATAATCTGCAACTTCTAATATGCTTATGTCTTATCAAGAGAAAGGGGTAATCCACTCTTAATTAAGATTAGACAAAGCTCTGATATTGTAAGTATACTCTTGTCACTCTATCAAGGACAAGAACATGATAAAAATAAATAAACAAGTGAGACTTCTTTCAAAGAAAGATGATAAAATAGAAATAATTTGATATATATATTAAGAAAGAAATTGGAATGGCTATTGTAAAAAGCTAAGAAAACTAGAGATCCTTCAAACTAGATTGGAAGCAAGAAAAGAGTTGACAAGAGTGAAAAAGGCTTCATTTTTATCTCTATATATACTGTCTAACTAGGAGCTACGTGGCGATGTTCTATAGAACCTCCAATATGTGTTGACTTTATAGGACATATGCCTTGACTTACAAGGCAAGTTTTTCTATGTGTAGGCCACATAGTTAGCTTGGTCTTCAAGCTTACAACATGTGTGGTACATGGCCAACTTTTTGACCACATTTCTAATCCAAAAAGTCAATTAAAGACACTTATAAAATCAAAGTAGCATCTATGAGGATGAAGATTTTCATGAACAATATATTCTTCTTTGAATAAATGGTAAGATACAATATATTTGGTATCATGACCTTGGAAGAGACTTTTGATGTTTGGTGATTTTACTAGAGGTAGAAACAACTCCTGATGGTGTTCCAAATATTTTATTTGAAGAAAGTTATGAAGGCTTCAACAATAATCAAATAATTGGAAGGTCTTCCTGTCGTGGTATGGGACACTATCAATGATTGAAAGGTCCTATCAATCATCTTTGAAGAGAACAAAGATTAGAGGATGTGGAAAATATAATTTGCCGTATCTTAGACTTCCTCGATATATGATCACCACTCCTTGTGGAACTCATCTCTAGAAGAGGGAGTAATGTCACAACATATATTTATTGTAATTATTACCTAAGTGATATGAATAGGTAGAAGTAGATAAAAATAGATTAATTTCATAATATCTTCTAGAGAAGCTTCTTAGAAGCTTTATAGATGCTATTTTGATTTTACATGTATTTATATTTGATTGATAGGTTAGAAACTTGGTCAATAAGTTAACCACATGCCATGTATGTTGGTAGCTTGCGGAACAAGCTAACTTTGTGGCACCCACATAGAAAACTTATCTTGCTAGTTAAGATATGTATTGTGCAAAGTCAACCCATTTTTGGAGGTCCTATAGAACGTCGCCACATAGCTCCTAGGTAGATAGTATATATAGAGGCAAGAGTGAAGCCTTCTTCACTCTTATCAACTCCTTTCTTGCTTCTAGTCTAGTTTCAAGGATCTCTAATTTTCTTGTCTTTTGGCAATAGCCATTCCAATTTCTTTCTTAATATATATATTTAATTATTTCTATTTTATCATCTTTCTTTGAAAAAAGTCTCACTTGTTTAATTATTTTTATCAAGTTCTTGTCCTTGACAATAATGGAGGTAGAATCTATAGTAGTAAGCTATGGTATAATTGAAGCAAAATAGGTAAGACAACTTTTGGAGGATATTAAAAGATAGAAGTTATCTATTAAGACAATAACTACCACTTATTAGTAATAGATATTAGAAGTCAAAGTTATCTTACTCTATACTCTCTTTGTATATAAACTTGTTGATACTATGTGTTGTAACTTTAAAGTTCTCTTTCTTTAATAAAAACAATGAATTTTGGTAAAGTTTATCATGGATATGGTGAAAAAGTGCAAATTTTATGTGACTAAGAATTAAGATTGGTGATCTTTGAAGCAACTTGAATATGGAGGTACTTTACGCATAGTAATTGCTTTGACAGAAAATCTCCATTACATTCAATTATTACTAATATGTAGAGTTGAATATTGATAGGCAGTTTCCAAAAAAATTAATAAAATGATGAGTTGTGAGAAGCCAACTGGTGGAAGTTGGAATTAATTTTGTTATGAGAACGCCTAAACATCAAATGCAGAACACTTTTCAACCAACAGTACAATTATTAATCCGTTCATTTCAAGGCTCAAATATATCCCATGTATGTCAGCTATTACTAGCTCCTAAGTTTATTTTTAATACGTGAAAAATGCATAAAATCTCCAATTCATGAACATGATTGCTATCGTGAGCAAATTGATTTGGGAACTGAGAATTGTCTGCATTCACTGCTTCATATTTTCGGGAACAACATTCAACGAACTCCACATGTCCTATCTTCGGCGATCCATGAATCCACTTCTTAGAAAGATTTTGCAGCGCAATGATACACAGAAAGGAGCGATAAGAACACATGGGACAATTTCTTCAACAATATCAAGTAAATGTTGAAAATGTAAGCAAGATTTTAGTTCTAGATGGCTGCTGCAACATATTTGTAATTCTTACCGGATGGCAATTTTAGTCACATTCAGGATGGCAATATAGTAACCATATTTAGACCAGACTAGCCATGTCGACATGAACATAGGCTAAGGATAGGTGAGTTGTCAGCTGTTCACATTAGACCAGCCGAACCCTCCAACTCTCCAGTGCACGGGCTCGCAAGAAACTTGTTTTGTGGGCCAGGCACAGCTGCACGGAAGTTTTGTGGAGCAGTCAGAACGGAGACCAAGGAGCAGCATATTGACTTGTGCAATTGGCTGGTGGAAACGGGCGGAAACCGAACCGAGCTAACAATCAATCCATCCATCCAGCACAAGGTTGAATCCATGCACCCCCGCCCGGCCTGGGCACTGAGGAGGAGGAGAATGAGAATGCGAAGAAGAAGAAGTCATCCATCGTTCATCCACGTGAGTAGCCTGTGCGAGTCCTGATATATATATAGATAGATAGATAGATAGATAGATATATAATTTTAAAACTGCCCACCTTCTTGGGGAGCCTTAAGTTTTCAAGCTGCCCGATCGATCAGACAGCCTGAGTCCAGGAGTCCAAGAACAAGTGTCCAAAGAAACGTGCAACCGAAACGAAACGAAGCTAGTCAGAAAACGAAACTTCCATGTCAGAAAACGAGAATTGCTAAGACAGCGGCAACGAAATCCGACCCAGACACATGTAAGGTACAGGGAATCAGTTCAGCCATCCAGGAGTCTGCAGCCTCCGAAGTTTTACTTGTTTTTATACAAAGGAGGGTTCAACCCCCCCCCCCCCCCCTCCTACCGCTGCCCGCCCTCTGCCCTGGAAGCGGACGGGCAGCGGGAGGGGGAGGGGAACTGGATCCTCGGCCTGAGAGTGTATCCGCCGCGGATGAAAATCCGCTCGGTTATATTCATTCGGGAACCCAGTCTAATGGTTCGTTCGCTGAAGCCAAAATCCAGCTTCAAACGAAGTGATTAATCTAATGGATGGATATGTCATGTTGTTGCTGTATATAAGACTTGGTTTGTCCGGTAGCTTGAATCAACTCAAAGTTACATCCCATTCTCTTCATGTCACATCTGCTTCACGGTGAAACCAGAAAGTGGGATGTTAGGAATTGCTATTGAAAGACTAGCTTGGTACACCCGTCAAAGAGCCTTCTTCGAAATCAGTAGTCGCATTGTTTTGCAGAGGCTGAGATTCATTCGAACTTGAATAGTGTTGTGAAATCGTTCCTGCAAGATTTAAAGGTCCATTTGCTGTTTCGTTTTACAATGCATTAGATCTATTCGATGGTATCAGATTGATGTCATGAGTCTTCCAAGATAAATTTGGTGGTTCATGTCCTCGATCAACTCTACTCAAGATCATGTTGCAATTGAGAAATTATCGGCGGACAGAATTGTGTTTCTCGATGTGAAGTTCGCAGTTACCAATTGCAGAGGTGAAGTTAGACAGGATTTTTGACAGTGGATCAGTCCTGAATGTTGAAGTGGAAGGACGAACTGTTAATTTACTAGTAGGGTCGATCAGATAGCACAATTCAACAATCACCATACCATTGTTTGATAACGGTCCTTCCACTTTTCCTGCAGTTTCTATTAAACTTGAACGTTATGTGGTAGAGTTCCAGGAAATGCTATTTATTTGACTGGTTACTGAACGCATTCTACTAGTGTAGAAATTGCTGGCGCAGTCTACTTACTCCTACAATGATTCCCATTTACACTTACTTTTCGACGTTCGCAAAATCGTTTCTTGCTGCAGAATTTTGGTTTAGTTTGTAGATCAAGGTTTTCCATCTGCCTCGTTGGCTGCACCTGTCTGTACTAGCTCCGCGACATTAAACGAACTTCAGAAGGATAGGAAATGTCGGGAGGTGGGTCTTCTAGATACCGTGGTGTCCGTCTGCGGCCCTGGGGCAGGTGGGTTTCGGAGATCCGAGAACCGCAACGACGAGACTCTCGAACTTATCGAATATGGCTCGGCTCATTCCGATCTGCGGAGGAGGCGGTGCAACTCTTACCCAACCAGGATACCCATTACTATTTCATTTATGTTAGAAGATCCCACAACCATAGCTTAAATTTCATGACGCCCCGAAATCCTGGCATCTATAGCTGTCCAAATTCAAGGCAGTTTTCTTGGATTTTAAGATCTGCCCGTGACACAATCAAGGGAATAAATTTTTCCAATATAACAAACCAGAAAATTTTGACATGTCTAGTTATTACAATTCCCAAAAATTCTTTGTCAGATTGTAATTCGCTAAGAACCCTGATTGTGTGAGTAATTGACTTTTTTCTTTCTTTTTCCAGGCTCATGCATATGACGCAGCGTTACTCTGTCTCCGAGGCTCCTCTGCCAACCTCAATTTTCCCAACTTCAACTACAGGCTTCCACCCGGCATTCCGGGCCGGTACAGCACGCGAGAAATTCAAGCAGCGGCTTCTGCCGCAGCAGCTCAATCAGCAGGCCGCCAATTCTCCTACGACAACTTCATGTCGCCGACTTCCCCGTCGGAAAGCGAGGAAGAGGTTGAGGACATCACTTACCCAGGCAACTCTAGCCACGTACAGTATCAAACGCAATCTTCTCAACCATCCTACAATTACAACTCTGATGATGATCCACGCAACCAAATGAACCGGATAGCTCAAGCGATGTTGATCGATCCTCCTAATCACGACTCGGACGACACTGATGAAAGCAGTGACGATGACGACCCTCCGTTGTGGTGCTAA